GAAAAAATCAAAGGTTTTTCTCATCAGCGAAAACAGGACAAGGCCACCGCTCTTCTCATATTTCCTCTCAAATTTTTGCTTGAATTCACAAAAAAATTCAACTCTCTCTGCAGAAATTCACATGAAAATCAAACTTCTGCTACCTTCGTGAACAACCACTGCAGTTTAAAACCGTATAAAAACACTTTTAACTTATTTTAGAAAATTCCTGTAACCTCCAAACCAGAACAATTTTGAGAAACATAAGATTGGGCAAAAATTTACAAATAATATTAAGACTCATCCATTATCTTCCGCCCTAAAAGTGAAATAAAATGAAGTATGCTAAATGTAATTAACTTAAACTGTTGATGAGGGAATGACCAAAAATTGCATGTGTGTGTGAGATTTTGAATGGGAACGGAGGGATTGGGTTTTTTTAAGGAAAATGAGGAGAATGGAGGTAATGATTAATCTGTAATTGTAGCAACTAATAGAAAACTAGAAAACCTTTTCATCGAAACGAGGATTGAAATGGAGTGCAATATCGCCGTTCCTCTTCAGCAAATTGATGTTGAAGCGTTTCGCCTTCTTCTCCGGGCACAAGAAAATCAGCAGTGATTTCGAAACGCCCAAGCCTTGCGAGATACCACTCTCATACGGCACCGGCTAAAGCTCCAGAATTGTACGAATTTTGTGACACTTGATAAAAAACTTCCTCTTTTTGCCCTTTCAAAAATCTTCCTTTGTCTTGCTTTCAGCTGAAAATGCCCTCTTTCCCTACCCATCCAAAAAAAAGGAAAATCGTAACACGCTTTCTGATGGCGCATATAAAATGTATTTCGTCGATGCTCAACGCTTTGCACGTTACAAGGCAAAGTGTGGACGCTAGCAGCATGCGATAGAAAAGACAGAAAACGGCAGAAGCACCGACGACAAGCAAAAAGAATGAAACAAAATCCGCTTACAGGGTCAAGTAAAATTTAAGCAACACATTCATGGTCACGTATTTCTGCACAGCGAACTAATTATCCCACAATACTTTGCCTAAAATTGACAAAAATTCATCTTCAGTAAGGTGCCACTCATTGAAGTTACTGGCATCACAATTTTTAGAACGCCCAGACGCACTATGGATACTTTTTTAAGATAATTTTGTGGCAAGAAAATCAAAAAAAAAAAATCCCAGAGGAAACTAACATAGTATTTTCCACCCCAGTGGACTTGATTTAGGTACAAATCTCCATCGACTGATAGGTGCGTGATCGACGATAGGGGCAGACGATGCTCATAATCCTTGAATTCTTTCTGGTCGCAGAAAATCTGAAATTCCGTTAATTAACGTTCTTAAAAACAAGCATTAATTAGTGTCGCCATATCAAACGGAGAAAACAGAGTAAGGGGAGTGTGAGGGTTGGAAATGAGGTAAAAGGAAAAGGAGAGACAGAAACTGCGAGCAAAACCCCCATGCTTTCCTGTAAAAATCAACCTATTGTGGGGGAAAAAAGTAAAAACCAACAGAAA